CTTGCAACTCTCAGGCAGACATCAGTAAGCAAAATCACCACATAATATATTAACATAAAGCTGTCCCTGTGCTTAAATAATTAAGCACTACACCATGAAGGAATATAGGGGAGTAGTTGCATAGATCCACATTTTCTTGACCTTAGCACTAGTTAAGAGGTGAGTGGTGAGCTTCACGCCCTGGCTGCTTCACCCCTGGGAAAGAGTTCCCAGTACCCATTGGATAGAAGGCTTGGTGGGCCCCTCGGTCTGGACAATGTGGAGAAAACCCTTGGCACTACCAGGACTCGAACTCCAGTCCCTCAGTTGTCCAGCCCATAGCCAGTCACTATACAAACTACGCTTTCCCAGCTCCACACACCTTAAAAGTGGACATCTAAAATACTAGTAAATCACTGACAACCTATGAAGCCTAAAAGAGAATTTATATATAATGTGTATTGTGAATAACAGTTCTGCTCTCAAGAATTTCATTTTATTCCCAGTTAGAAATACATCTCACAGCAAATTATATTATTCTCTTTACACTGTTAAAAACTAAAGATGCTTAGGACACAAATCTTCAAGGTGATTTCTGATATCATCCAGTTATTCTAATGTTAATACTGATAGCTGGCCTTTTTTTTCTGTATCCAGATTATTAACACGCCAGTTGTCCTTACTTTAATGATAAAATTTTGACTAGTGTTTCTGTGAGGAATTCAGACCCTAGGAAGATATCTCTTGTGATTTTTTCTGACACTTCTAATGGATTTATACTTCACATAATATTCATAGAAACCACTGGATGATCTAATGTAAATACTGTATCCACATCAAATACAAAGGGAATCTTGCAAGAATAGAGGGGACACGAATAAATAAATAAAACTGTGATCTTACAAAACCTTAGTTTGCACACTTCACAGTTACACATGATTCAGCAACTATCATCTTCAGTCAGTTCATGGTGGACAACTTCATCCTCAGTTTGACATATTTCATATTTTATTTGCACTGACGTGTGATCACAGAAAACAAAAGATACTGAAGCACAAGAAATCCATATCATACACAGCAATTTCCACTCCACAATATAAACGTTGTGTGTCATGTGATGAAAAACATTATGGGTCCTGTTTTTTTATAAAGATACAATTAATTCTGAGAAATTAATTAATTTAAGTGACCAGTTACATTTACTCTGCACTATAGCTCTGGTCTCATATCACTACACTGGTAGAGGCAGAAAGGCAACAACCCACACAGTGAGTACCTGTAGAAGAAAGTCCATACACAAGCCGAATTTACTCCCTTTAGAGATTTGATAATTATTCAACTACAGAGGCTAGGCCATATTACCTATAGCAATGCATGCTCATATAAAGAAGACAGATGAGGAAACAGCTCTGTCTTATTTCAACATACTATTCAGACAATGACCGAGGGAAATCTGACTGAAATTGATTACTTACCTGCAGACATATCATTGATGCACCAGCTTTTTTTAGTATGTTACTTGCATAATCTCAGTTCTAATTTAACAGAAGATTTACCACATTAAAACACCAAGTAATATCTCCTTACCTAGCCTCCCCTTAGTTTAATAGCTTTAACAAATTAACCTACATCTTTATGCAATAAATAACAAGTCATGTGTAGTTGAGAATATAATTTATTAACACTCCAAGGTGGACGCTTCAAAATGTCTATGATACATTATAAATTATCAAATACAACAAATAATTTAATAAAATCAATGTACAATGAACAGAACATAAACAAAAATAAATATAAGTATCTTTTATTGTGTGATAACAAGAAAAAGCTGAAGGATTTGGCTTCACATTAACGTTCCATCTACAAGCCCCTCATCGGATGCCCAAGAAGAGATTCAGGCAGGATCTATTCTCCTAAAACAGAAGTTGAAAATCACAATAAATATTTTTTAAAAAATTCTATAAATATAAACGTCATGTTAAAAAAATGTGATCCATTAGAAAATAATTTTTTCCACTGAATAAACTGAGCACTCACCTTCTGCGAATGAGCTTTGCTGAACACAACCCAGAAACAAATAGTCCCATCCCCATCGGCAGTTACAATTGTTTACCCATTAGGAGATACTGCCAGGTGGAGAACTCTGAATGAGTGCCCGGTGAGCTTTGTAAGCTGTCTTAGGCTGGGATAATTCCACACACATATATGATTATCTGGGAAGCCATGGGTGCTGACCTGCAATATAGTGAAGATTAAGCTTTCCAGCAGAAAAACATCTTAAAAGGGTAGGCTTTAACACATTTACAGAATTAGTTATATCCTTTGCAGAGAACAGAATCAACATTACAGTTTTAAAATGAACAAATCGCTAAAGCACACAAAACATACAGGCTTTCAAATATACCCTAAATGTTCCTGCTCTAGTGGATGAAGTCAAACATAGTGTCAACATCACGGACCAGTCACCTGAGATGCCACACAATTACTGTCAACACACACAGCATTTGAAGTACTAATTTTTGACAGATCTCCCAGAAATGAAGGGAAGATTAATCAGAATTATAATAATCATTTATAAGAACTATGCCAATTGAAACATATTTTCATTTTCATAATCATGGTTCCTTTTCGGTGGACACTGAGAACATTACTCAAGGCTTGCTTTAGAAAAAGACACTGAATCTGTCAACTAAAATACAGCACTTTCATTCCAGACAAGCCATGCAGGAACCACACCAACACATTAAAGCTCAAATTTACTGTAGTTCTATTTCATTAACTCTGGAATGCATTTTGAAATTTAACATCATAGGGTAAAAAAAATCTCATCACTTTCAAATACTTAACTACCTCTTTAAAGTATAAAGAAAATCCTTACTTTTGTCAAAAATACCATTTCCACTACAAAATTGAGGACTAATTTGCTTTGTAAGAAACTTACCAATGGAGAGGAAAATTTTGACCAGGCCAGATTGGTGATTTGAGAGCCAGTGTTAATGCACTTGACTAGCTCGCCTGTGAGTGTGTTCCAGAAATGAAGACACTGATCATCTACACCGCCACCACTAGCCAAGATCCCATGATGATGTGGGGACCATGCAACAGCTGCAAAATGAAATGTATTAATGTACCAAATTTATACCAAACTGCATCCAATTAATCATTAAGTTGCAAAGCCCCTCAAATCTCATTCCATAGTTCAGCACCACTTGTGGTCTGGCACAAATTTCGTTTGCCAGATGTCTTCCTGCCAACAAACCAATACTAGGTTTCACTGTTCAACAGCTGTTTGTTTACATACATCAGTCATGGCACAGAATGCATACAGTGTGGATATCAGTGTTTTGCTTTGTACTTTCTTTGCTGTTCACCTCTAACTTGTCATATACAATCTCTTTATGCTCCCTCTACTTATATCTCTATAATATTTCATAGATTATAAGATAATCACAGAGAAAAATACAGTAAATTTCCAGTATATGGTACCCATGCACCTGGAATTTTCATCCAACAAGCAAACATTTCAAAGAAATGTATCATATTTATAATAATTCAAAAGCAAAGTTGTGACGCACGTATGTTCACCTGCCATGCACGAGGAGTGCCATCCATTATCCTACCGCACGCAGATGACACTACAGTATAGGCTACTAATTTATAACCACATTACAGTATATGCATTCAACATCTTTCAGCCAAAGGCAAATGGAATTCCTCCAAATGCCTGGGCATTATATACTTCTGCTTGATGGTGCAGCAGCAATTTCATCGATTACATGATGTACAGAATGTTCACGTTATAGAGTATGTGTTAAATGTATAACAAAAAAGTTGTCCCTGTGCTTACTTAATTAAGCACTATGTCACAAAGATATATGAGGGAGTGGAGGTATGGCTCGACCATTCTTGACCTCGGCACAGGAAGTAAAGATACCATTACCTGATCTTTAGGCCTCTCTCTTGTTAATGAAAGAGGCAGAAAACCTACATTCCACAATCTGAGTACTATAGTAATAGAGAATTTACTCAATTTTGAAGCAGAAGTGTTTAGGTTGCATGTGCACAGCCATTTTAATATGCCATTAATAAACACCTACCGACTCCTGAAAACAGTAAAACAGGAACAGCAGGGAAAAGCATTTTTAAGATTCAAGCTCAAGTACCCCCAAAACAAATATGAACCAATGACAAAAGTCTAATATCACCTGAACCGCTCTACAAGCCAGTAGCGTTTTTAAATATGTACACTGTCATGTAGCTAGTGAAGTTCCAAATACTCCTCTAATTGTAATTCAGTGTTTAAAGGAGTTTAATCCTAATCATGGCAAAGAAACAGACAAGCTTAGGTCTAAATACAAAGCTTGAACTGTTATGTCTCTGTAAAGCCAGTGGCTCATCAAAGAGTGGAACAGGAAGAGAGTATGGATGGACTCCACCACTGTTCATCAATCAAAAGACCAAACATGAAATATAATCAGCTATTCAGTATGATGGAAGACTACTAACAGGAACAAACAAGCAACAATGAGAATCGCGATTTGGAATCTGCACATTTTGAGTGATTAAAAAAAAAAAAGACTATATGCCGCACTAACTGACGGACCAATGGTCAGGAAAGAAGCCATCCTCTAGTAGACACAAAATTTAACGGAACTCTGTTGCATTTACAACTGGCCCCTAACACAGTGTACATGTTAACTAAAATAACTTGGCGAGAGTAAAAGAAATACTATAACATAAACTTTCAGAAAATGTTAGAGATATGGACAATGTTGAATGATTCTTAAACATTTTCATATTTTACAAGGCAATTATTTCAAACAAGCTGGGGCATTTCTTCCCTTCTGATGAATTGTCTCAAAATCTACGATATTTATGGAGAAAGTGTACGGGTCATAAAAATTTCGTTTCATTTCTCTCCACAATTTCTGTTCGAAACCCTTATTGCTCTGATATATAATTACCAAGTTACAAAATACGTGAGAAAAAACACTTTGACCTTCATATTAAGTGTCACTGTTGACAGATATTGACGATAACTGGAATGTATCAAAAAAGGTTTAGTACAAATGTCTAATATGGAATTCCATGAAAATCCATTTGGCAGTTCTTAAGTTGTTGCAGACAGATGGATAGACACAGTGAGGCTGACAGGTGCATTTTTGCAGCTTTTCATTGTGAATGGACCAAAGAGAATAAATACTGCTGTACTCACATTGTAAAAAGTAAAGGTATCCCCTTAACAGGCTGTGGAGGCCCATAGGGATGTGAGATGTTGAGGCTCCAACATTATCTAGACAATTGGCTCACAGATGGTGGTAAGGTTGTCAGCCTTACGTGCCAGCTGCCCTTTACCCCCCAGAATATCCCTGGTACTAATTTCTGTTAGAGACTGAGTAAACCCCAGGGCCATAGTGCAGCTGGAAGGATTAGGTAAATTGGGAGGGAAAAAAAAAAAAAAAAAAATCCACCTCATCGGGATTCCATCAAGCAACCTTCCGGTTTGTAGCATAGTGCTTCAACCAACTACGCTACTGCATGCCCCCTCACACTGTCACGTCATAATGTGATACACATAATTAGGTGTTACAAGATGAAGATGAAGATTATGTATTTCAAGCATTTTATGATATTACAAGTACCTATTAAAACAAAAAAAAATTTACAAACATCATGACTTCTTCTTACATTGGGGCTGAACTGTAATTCTCTTAAATTCAGACTCAAATTCTGCTGTACTCTATTTCAGACCAACTATATTTTATTATTTAAACACAACAACACTTAATGGTTAGTCACTGATCAGAATTAGGTTTCAGTGAATTACATATTTAGATAAGACAGAGATGAATATATACCTTTCACTGCTGACAAATGCCTGGTGTACTTCTGAAGAGGTGAGAGGGAATGCAAATCCCAAACAAACAGGCAGTTGTCACCGCCCCCAGAGGCCAGATATTTATTATCAGGAGACCATTTCAAGCCACAAACCTATAAAGAGCAGCAAATCACATGGTTCATTCAAAGTCATTACCAATCATAAAATTTGTATGACTGATTACAAAATATATTTTTGAGCCTTCATCAGTAACAGGCATTGCTCAGTAATACAAAATTAAATATAACCAGGGCTCAACAAACATATCTGTCTGCTCAGCCATAAATTAAAGAGGCTGATGAATGGAAAAATCTTTTAATTTATCCATAGATATTCTCTCCTGCTTTCATTTCTCATTATCTCCACAGATGATGTTACATTACATAAGGGGCAATATTTTATACATCTTCTGTATACTATGTAATGGGAAATAGGGTAGTTTGGAGCAATTAAAACAGCACAGGTAGGCACAATTTTTCTTGTGGAGATGTGTCTGAGGAACAGAATTTCTGTCACCCTGGTGAACTGCACAAATCTGTGCTGACCCCAGACTATTAATATTCGACAAATCATGTCCTACTAACCTCTTCCTGATGACCTACTAATCTTCTTTCAGCAACAAGACTAGGCATTCTCATATCATGTTGTAAAATAAAGGTATCCTGACTCCCTGATGACAGAATATTTCCATTCCAAGCAAGGGTACCCACTCTTCCTGCATGGCCTTGCATCATTTTAAGTTGTCTATTTACAACAGTATCCCAGACCTGCACACCACCATATGTTGATCCAACAGCTAGAAGATTTCCCTATGAATGAAACACCAAATTAAAAATAACATCCAACAGCAACAATCCTAGCCTGTCTTACATTATATCAGGAGTGGGAATGTAAGCAAGCTATTCAGCAACAGAAAATCAGAACTTGCAACACTACTTCAGCAAATTCTTACTACTCATTTTTAACAGTGGCTTTGTACAGCTGCTGCAGAAAATGGTTTTAAAATTTCAGCCACATTAAATGATTCAAGCCCCTCTGCCACATCGCCAAGAAGAGCACTAATATACTAGGATGTGAGAAATTGTATTTGAAGTTTATATTTCATGTCTTCCCTGTGTACACTGCTTAATGTGCATGACATCCTAGTATATGAGCAACAAGCAAATGCAGTAAACCCTTGTCCAATGGGGATTCACTAGTACACATAGAAACAAAGGTGGACAGTAATTTGCTGAATCAGATTCATCCATCAGTCCAATGAGAGGAGAAGTAGAAGCAGATGGGAGACTGCAGCATAAACAATGACAACCATCATATAGGCCGCACCATAGCTCAAGCGGTTAGTCACTGGCTTCCCACCATGGCAGCCTGGGTTCGAACCTGGGTGTGGTCAAGTGGGATTTGTGGTGGACAAAGTGGCACTGGGGCAGGTTATCTCCGAGTACTTCGGTTTCCCCTGCCAATCTTCATTCCACCAAATTCTCCATAATCATAATCACCTGGAACAGGTACAATAGGCAGATCAGTGGCTGATGTGCCGAGTGGACCCAGCTGGACTCTATGGCAACCGTCATGCCTCATTAGTGCAAAAAAAAATCTCTCGCTTCTCTCCAATTTAATACTGGGGGGGATTATGCAATGGAGGCATGGAGGAAATTGCAAAAGTGGAGGGGGAAAAAACATACAAACAAATACATAATGCATAATTTTCCTTTATTCAAGACTGACTGCAGCAGTTCACTTTACACTTAATACCTGTACCCAGTTAACAAAATAAGCAATATTCAAATTTAACAGAGAACAGAGATGCATTTTACCATCCCACATAAAAATTACATGGAATTATGACTTACCTGCTTATTAAATGCAACTGAGGTTACTGAGTTGCCATCTTCAGATAAATCAAGCAACCTTGTGACTTTGCCTGAGCAGGCTGACCAAAGATACACACAGCGCTCTAATCCCACACTCACTATATTCTGTGAGGACCAATCCACAAGACTACAGTAGAAGTCATCCTGTAGCTCAGGAGCAGCCATCACCTTCAAGAAAAAGGAGTATATTGCCAATATCAACTCTTAGTAACATCACCTAAACCATGTCAGTCTTTGTTACTGATTAGAGGGAAACTGGACATGAAACTAAGGATGTGCTGCGGGCAAACACTTTATTTGTGAATTCTAACAAATTAAAAACAACATAAACTATATATATGACCAAAGTTAAACATTATTACAGTACCTTGAAGGGCATTGGCGATATTTTCTGTGCTACTTTTCTTGCAGATGTAAGCAGCTTCTGGCTTTCTGCACTAACTGGTGACAAAGAATAGCAAGCTAGTGATGATGTGTCACCACTCCTATTTGGTACGATGTACCGAAAGAAGAAATGAATGAATCTGTAGTAACAGACAGGGAATCTACTTAAAATGCACATACCAACCAACATGGTCAATCTACTGCCTGTATTTAAACCAACAAACTTTTCTGATAACTGCAAATCAATCACTCATTCGTCTTTAAGTCAATGTTATCATACTGTCCCAGAATTGAACAATCATAATTCGTAATTAACTCTATATGCTCCACCATTCATACAGGAAGTGACGTGTTTGCAGTGGGATATGACAGCATACTTGCACAGCAGCAAAATGGGATTATGCTCATTCTGCATGTGTTAGTACTGTACACTGTGTTGGGATTGGCAATTTGATTTATGCAACACTTAAACACTGTAACTACAACATTCTCCCTAATTCATGGACTAGACTTCTTACTACAGCACACACTAAGTCCCCTATGTCTTCATTAGCTACTGCCTGGTAATGGATCTCAACAGTGTCCTCTTCTGCAGACATTATTACTGGGTTGTGAGTGCCTCTCAACCAACTAATTCTTGTTTAAATCCTTGTTTAAAGATGTCATCGCATGGCTACAGTGCCATAACCTAGTTGACTCCCTCTTTCAGTTTTCATATTTCAGTATGGATACCTGGATATACGATGAAGGTGCAATTAAAGAGCACTGCTGAAAGTAGCTATGGTGTGAGGCTGACCACTTACCTCCAGCTAGTGCTAATGTCAAGAAAATGTGGATCTATACATCCAATCACCCATACACCTTCATGGCATAGTGCTTAATAAGTTAAGGACAGGGACAAATTTACCTTACTGATTTGTCTGATATTCATTCAGATTCTGTGCTATATAACATCTCAATTCATACATTATCAAATAATTCACACACAAAAAGAAAAACACAACTAACAATGTACTCAAACACATTTTCAAACTTCTTAATCAGTGACGACCAGCTCAGAGCCATGCTTTGACAGTCGTTGGATATCTACCAGTTAAAGAGATGTTAGTTATATTTGTAGTATTAAAATGAAACCAAATTAAGTATGAAATAGTTACCTTATTGGAAAGCAAGCATAATGCATTAAGTCTGAGCTTTTGTCAAAATTTGGAAGCATTTATTTACTTTACGTAAGTATTTTGGGTGGACAGAACCAAGTGGAATGGCAATGAGGTATTCTCAGCATTACTCAAAACAGACCCCAGCATATCTGCCAAAGAAAACATACCAGTGGACATGCCTATTTCAGCAGGGACACCAACTGTCCAGTCAGACATTTTCCAGTTTCTCAGTTGTTACAAGAGGATGTGTGTGACCTTAACTACGGCCTTCCTACTTAACTCCCTAATTACAATACCTTACTATCCTCACATCTCAACTGCATGTATATAACCTCTGAAACTAATGCACTACATTAAATGGCCTATACAATAAAACATAGCATACAAACATCAGTGAGCAAACATGTACAAATATGCCTGATATGAGGTTCTCACAGTGGTGAATACAGTTTGGTGAAAATCAACGGACATTCTGGTGGGACACATCACCTCTATCATTATGGGCAAAGAGTAACCAGAGTCTGCTGCATACTTTACAATGCTTTCTTCCTTGGCTTACTCTTAAACACTGAACATGGTGGCGATAGATTCTTCCAAAACATTGGTTTGCTTTCATTGAACTATATGGCACTAGAGCCCAGATGATAATACTCTTCAAGCAAAAATATACCTAAATAATTAAAGAATTGTTACTATTATTCCCTGAACTAAAAATACTAATGCAAAGCTGCCATACCTGAAAGAGATTTGATCCCTTGAGTGGGGCCAATGCCCTTCTCTCACCATACTGGCCTCTAACATCTTCAATTTTGGCACCTAGAAGTTCATTCTTCAGCAGGGAAGGGTACAAAAATTTCTTATGATAGCCTCCAGCATTCTTCTATATTTAAGAACAGACAAATTTTAAAGGCATTTCTCCAGCTAAATAGAATCAAGATCAATTCACAGAAACCATGAACAGTGGAAAAATCGCAAATTTCACGGGAAAGATTCAAAGTAAAATGAATTATATGAGTACATCAAAAGAGCAAGATTTAAAAGAAATAGAAGATTAAGTAAACAAATTACAGGGATAGCACACAGTTCTATGATCAAGACTGTGTGACAGTTATGATCATTTAAAAATGGGGGGAGAGTTTTTAAAGCATAAATCAAGAGAAACTGTAAACGGCAGTTCCCTAACGGATTCATTTTCGTTCAACTTAAGAGTAGTTTTAACATCAAAGAATTTTTAAAATAACCGTTAGTTGGGTCTCCTAATCTCTCTGTCAACATTCAATTACACGGCACGAAATTTTAAATAAAAATAAAAGTGCATAATTCACCTTACTTACAATACCGAATTCCCTATCATGAGTCTTCTAGAATCTACAAAACCTCCTGTTGTGTTTCCACACACACACAGACTGCTGTCATTCTCATGCACACTCCATGCATCTGACTTTCATACAACCACATAATATAATCACCAGTATCACCATGAGCTGCAAGGTGAGCATCAGGGCCATTCCATCTCAGAACAAATCCTCCCAACTTCTTATACATTATCCTATGCCTCTATATCCTGCAGGTTTACACTGCATAATTCTCTGGGGTATCCTACTGTTTATCACCCACAGAAGGTGTTCACACCATTAGTCTTTGCATTCTTTCTTCTAAATTGAAATTTCCCAACTGGGTGCCTACCATACTACTGTGTTTATGTCCACTTACTCACAAAAACTTGACTGTTTCAACCCACCTTCTATCAACTGTATTTAGTGTTCAACTTTCAGAACCATTAACACAGGCACTGCCACACTTTTCTTAGAATACAAGCACATGTACTTAGCCTTATTAGTCTTGGTCATAACTGTGCGATATATAATATGGTAAGCAGTTAAAATTTACTACCCATTCAATTATAATAAGCCTTTTATCAGTGCATAACTGCCTCCAAAAGTCATTATTTTTGTTTTTTTTTGGACAAGGGGGCTGACCATATCTTGGAAACAGTGTTAATTCCCAAAAGTTCAAGAAAGTGACAGTTATCATTTTCACTTTTTACAATGAAATTCTCATTAGGCAAAGGCCATTAAATAAACAGCAATAACACTGCCAGTGACACAACAATCCTGATTCCTGGCATGGATAAACACAGCCCATGTGATCCACCAGATAGGTCACATGCATCACTAGTGTGCTCCTTTTCTTGCAGCAGTTTTTTTTTTGACAGAATGGAATATTAAAGTGGTGTATTAAAGGACAAACAGCACAGTGGGCATCCCATATCAGCAGTTCAACACAACCACATTGCTCACCTATAGGAACTGGTGGTAAACCACAAGAACTGATCACGCCAGGAACTTAACCATCACACAGACATTAACACCCCAACAGAATGCACAACTTATTTCATTCATAACGAATCCACAGTTCTTATTAAGCCAATTCACTAGCACAAAACATAGATTACTCAAACTACTCACTGTGCTCATGGCAAATTTAATCTGCCACTTGTTTCCAGCACGTATAGGAATGAAATGGTCACCAATGTTCTTACAGCGGGGACCTTTAGCCATGAGTGAGATATATGCGTGCAATTATAACACAGATATCATCAGCATCTCACACTTCTAGTAATATGAGAAAAATGAGGATCTTCCTAATGAAGATCTCTGAACCTGCCATAAATTTCATAACTATTCAGAAACTTATAAGAAAAAATATTGTGAATCTTATGCATACAACCGTTCTTTCAGGGATGAAACATGTACACTGAAGGGAACAAAAAACACGTACTAATGTCACAAATGAATGACAGAGGCAGCAACCCGAGTTG